AATTGCCGGCTCTTGAGACAGGGGTTTCCAATCATGAGGTCCATGCATGGACTTTCAGGGGAGCCTCTGTAACAGTGTGCAAGTGTGTGCATTGTGTGCGTGTGCATTCTTCCGGGGAAAAGGGTCTGTGAAAGAGAAGAGCAGCCTGTGACAGTTGGAGCCAGGCCTTGGTGTCCCTAGGAGCTGGCCTGGGACTCAGAGCCAGGCTGTGGTGTTCTCTGTGTCTGACATCACAGAACTCCAACATCAGGCAAAATGGATCAAGACAAAAAACAAAACAAAACAAAAAAACTACTCCAAATCATGTTTGGGCAGAGAATAAAAACAAGAACATTGTCCAAACCACAAAAATGACCACATCTCCCCCTTCCCCAGCTAATGTGAGTGCTGTTTCTTTTCCTCCCAGCTAGAGAATTAAGATACTGGACCATAGAGCTGCCCCTGCTTCCTGACAGCATCTAATCCAGAGCAAAGCTCCACTGCTCCAAACCTTCCCAAATAATCTCTCGCAGGTACAAATCTTATAATAAGTCATTTCTACCACCCTCTCACTGAACGGCCTGATGGTCCCGTGGTGTGTGCCGTCCCTTGTTGCAAAGAGCCAATAAACTCAACTTTGCTCTGTTACAGGTGTCCCTGGTTGTCCTGACTGCAGGGAATTGGCAAGGCTATAGCTTTCATTAGACTCTGAGAAGGATCTGAATGTAGCTGGAGAAAACCCACAAACCATGCTGACCAGTCCCACTTTACATTCGTAACTAGAAACCTCAAGTGGACCCTTAACACTGAGAGGCAAACATATCCTAAGTCCTTAGTCTGTTCAGACTCCCTCTCTTCTAGACAAATTTCTTACCTCTCTTCCCTCCCCTCATACCTCCAATGGCTGCTCCTAGTCCCCATCTGAGGTGATGATCTTCTTATTTCTCTGAGAAAGGAACTTCCACAGACCCTCACCACCACGTCTGCCCTCCTCAATGTCTGCTCCTCATACTCAGCCTCTCTGCCTGTCACCATGGACCAGGGATCAGTATGCTGCTGCCTGAGGGCTAACCCAGCCTGCTCCTGTCCACAATTCCTTTATGCATTATCTGTGGCTGCATTTGTGCTACAGTGAGAGAGTTGAACAGTTGCAACAGAGACAGCGTAGCCCACAACACCTAAAATATTTATGGATATTTTAATGTGTGGCCCTTTACAGAAGAAGTTTGCAAACCCCTGGCATAGATGAGCTAGCAGTGTTGTTATTTAAAGCCAAGTCCTCTACTTGTGCTCCAGATCCCATCCACTTTTCACTTTTCCTCTTCAGGGACATTATTCTAGCAATTCTTCTTTCTCTCTCCTGCATCATCAATTATTTACTCTCTACTGGATCATTCCCGTTAGTGCACAAATGTGTTATTTCTTCCATCTTAACCTTTTCTTCACTGAAGTTCCCCCAACCTATTTCTTTGCTCCCCTTGGTGGCAAAATTTCTTGAAAGAATTGTCCATCCTCTCCTTCCATTCACTCTTAAATTCACTCCAGTTGGGCCATCAATCCCACTACTCCACCTAACATGCTCTGTCAAAGTCACCAAAGCTAAATCCTATGGCCAAGTCTTCATCTTCTCCTTTCAGCAGCACCCGATGTAGTTCAACACTCTTCCTCTAGAAACTCTGTTCTTTCACTTGGCTTGCAAGACACCCTGGTCTCTTGTTTTTCTCTCCTAACCCAAATCTTCCATCTCTTTTCTCTAACAACTTAACATTGGAATGCTTCAAAGGTCTGTCCTTGGTCCTCTTTTTCGCCCTCCTCTACATTCATATTATTCATTCATTGGTTAGTGATCTTAACCAATGCAATGGCTTCAATATGCTGATGACTCTCAGATTTTTATTCAGTCCAGACTTCTCTCCTGAACTCCATAACTGTATCACCAATTGCCTTCTTGATTCCTTCACTTGGATGTTTAATAGATTTCTTCTAGAACTCAACACACCCAAAACTGAACTTCTGATTCCTAACTCCCCCTAGCCTGCTCCATCTGTGGCCTTCCCAATCTCAGTGAACTGCAACTCCATCTTTCCTCTGGCTCAGGACCATCTTGGCATTGTCCTTGACTCTTCTCTTTCTCTCACACTTATTTCTAATCTATTAGGGAATCCAATTGAATTTATTTTTAAAACATATCCAGAATTCAACCACTTTTCAACACTTCCATGGCTACCACTCTGGTCTGAGGCACCATCATCTGTCACCTGGTTTGTTATAGTTGGCTCCTAACTGGTCTCTTTACTTGTACCCTTGCCTTATTTTCAACACAGCAATTAGAGTAGTCCCTTCAAATGGTAAGAAAGACCATATCACTAATCTGTTAAAATCCTTGCAGTGGCTCCCATTTTCTTCCCAGTAGAGCCAAAGCCCCTTCTGTTGACCTGTACAACCTGCACCTGTGACCCAGCCTCTTGCTTCTCCTGTAAGACACAAGCATGTTCCTGCTCCAGGCTTGGGCACTAGGTTCCCAGAGTGCCTTGAACACTCTTACCCTGGCTGGACACTTGGCTTTCACATCCTTCAAGTCTTTGTTCACATCTCACCTTCTCATTGAAGCCCACCCTGATTGAACACCCTACTTAAAACTGCAACCCCTCCCCTGTCCATTACCAGTCTCCCTTAATCTGCTCTACTTTTTCTTTTCCCCATAGTTTCTTATCACCCTCTGTCATCCAAGACCAATTCTCTAGTCATTGTCTTTATTGTTTATTGCATGTCTCCCCCAGTTGGAATTAAGTTCCACAGGGCAGGGATCTTGGTACCAAGTATCCAGAATTGGGCCCAGCTTACAGTTACCAATCAATACATATTTGTTGGATGTTCTTGAATAAATTAGTATCACAGAGGCTGAAAAGAGAGACTGAACATGACTTTGCTTCAGAGTCCCTTGCTGAGAAATATAGAGAGAGGCTGCCTGCTGCAGGCTTGGCTCATAGTCATCAACTCCATGTATTTTCTTAAGATAGGGTTTTTTAAATTTCAATCATTTGCATGCCAAACACATGATTTTTGCCCTCAGAACAATCTATACTTTTATTTACTTAACATCTTCCCTTAAATAGAGTTACTTCTTGACAAATAAATTTATTTTGAAAGAAAAATTTATATCATGGCTTTGATGTGCTATAGTTTTTCTCATATGTGTTAAAATAAACATCTAGTTATTAAAATGAACAATGTGTATCTGTATCACCTAAGATCACCTGGCTTACCCCCTGTGGGAACCTGCCTTAACCTTTCCCCCCAACCCAGAAAGGCCTCCTGCACCCCTCTTCACCCAAATCCCACCGTCCCCCAAGAAGCCTTGGCTGCTCCTCCAGCTAGCTTCTCTGAGCTCCCTTCACACTTACAGACAGAAATACATAGCCCAATATTTGGATGCTTACATGCCATTTGGTTTTGTTTTCCATTTTACATCATAAGATTATAAAATATTTTCTTAGAGCTATAGATAATAAAGACATTAAAGTGTTCAACTTCCTTGTTTTATAGGCTATCAAAGAGATTAAGAGGCTTGCCCCAAATCACTGCCAGTTAGGGCCAAAGCCAGAACTTGGGTTTTCTGACTCCCTGCAATCAGTGGGGGAATCCATAAATCCCTGTTGAGTCCCTAGAATGTACCTGTCATTGTGCCAGGCATGGGAGCTAAGTGAGACTAGAATAGACCCAGACCTTGCCCACACAGGGCTTACAGTGTAGTCAGGAAGCTGCACTCTAAACAAATCTATATGATTAAGTAAATCACTGCAAGAGCACAAGTGCCCTTGGAGGAGAAGTGTAGGGTTGAGTAGGGGTCCCAGTCTAGTTTGGAAGGTCACAAAAGCCTCACTAACAAAGTATGTTCAAATGTATAAGAGTTAGCTGAGGAGGAGCTGGCAGATGTTTTAATGGTGCCAGGCTAACTCACAAAAGTTTGTTTTGATATTTGACAGTTCAGCTGCGTTGTGGGTTAATTAGGCCACTGTGGCCCAACCTATTTGCTAGTGCTCAGGAAGAAGGCAGCCAAATAGCTCAGAGGCTCCTGTGCCTCTAAAGCAGCTTCAGTGGTTCCCTCTAACCTGCCTTGAGCAAAAAGGTAACAGGAGACACTGTCAGGCCCCCTCATCCCTCGCTGACAGGGAGTTTGGGCATCTTGATACATTAGTTGTTTTTTCCAAGCGAATGCCTACAATGTGAGCTTTGATATTAAAGAAAAATTAGTCCTTGGTTCCTGGAAGTGGAAAATTTTAGTGTTATTTACAAGGTACACTGCAAGGCCTGGGCAGTTTCACCTAACTGGTAAAATGCAGACTCTTCAGAGGGGATGCATTTCAGTCACTTTTAATTACCATTGCAGAGTTTATCTTCATGTTTCCTTCTGATAGTTCAGTGGGGCTGGTTAACCTACATCTAAGAAACTCCTACTACATGCTGCCTTCATCTTGGAAAATTAAGCCCCAAAACAATGTTCTATGTAGTGATGCAGAGCAGGGACGTGTTTAGACTGAGAGAGAGACTTGGGGTTTGATCTCCCATTCTGCCCCTTAGTAGGCTAGGATAATTGTTTCTCCTTTCTGAGCCTCCATTTCCTCCTCTGGAAAATGGGGTAATAATAATAATTCCTGTCCTTTGTGAGATTCTTGAGACATTAAATGGGAATATATGTGAGAACTCTCTTACAAGATTTGAAGTGCTGCAAAATGTCACGTAAAAATAAACCACCTTTTATGAATTCTCTTTTATAAAGCTCAAACTGAGGCTCAAAGAGAGACTGGTTTAGGGCTAGAACAAAGGTCTCCTGATTCGCGCTTTCTTTTCACCAGGTTGCTTCACTGGGGCCTGCCTTCTGGTAGAGCAATTATTGGCAAGAGCAAGTGCCTGGGGGAAATGAACATGTGCTGGGAGGGTGGGAAGGGAGTCGAGGGAGCTCCCAACCAGGGATGGAGAGGGCAGTAGAAGAGGAGTGGGGCAAAGGTAAGCTCGCCTACCTTCTCAGTTTGCTGAGGGCTCTGAGGTTAGGCCTTCTCACGCTTAAGGTTCTCTATAGTCGACTTTCTCCATTTCTTTCAACTGGCCTGTCTTTGTGTGGTTGAAGCTGACCTAGCATTAAATAACATGATCTTTAGCACATTTTGAAAGCAAAGTCAGGCTTTAATGATCAGTTATCTGTTCCTTGGTATTTTCTTTCAAGCAAAGGCTGTGTTTTTGTAAGATACTCCATTTCAGTGGGCTATTCTTTTGGCCCCAGGAAACATTCCTGAGTGGTAGCTTTTAGGAGGTGTTCCAATTTATTGTTTCCGGTGTCCAATAACCTTGGAGTATCTGTCTTCATGTCCCTCAAAGCCATGTTATTTCAGAAAGTTACAGCTCTTAAACTTGTTCTCTAATAAAAGCAAGTGCTATTAATTCTAAGTAAAGTGAGCTTTCCAAATAAGACCAGCTGTGAATGTTAAAAAAAAGGAGAAGAAAAAAAAAAACTTCAGTAATGGAAGTCCATAAGTGAAAACTGTATGCAGTTGAACTTCAGGCATTTTAGCAGCCATTTAAAAAGATGTCTTCAGCAAACTCATCTAAATTAGCTAAAAATGCTTGACACGATGGACATGTTGTGTCTGTAGGCCAATATTCAATCCAGGTCAAGGAATCTAAAGGGTAGATGTACCTACCAAGAAAAAATGGAAACAAAGTGTTTGTGAGGATGGCCACAAATAGAGAAAAGCTGTATTTGAGTTCCTTTGTAAGAGCCCAGTTGTGGTCAGGTCCCCAGGGGTCAGGCTGTCAGCCAAACTCTTCTGGACCAGTCTCTCCTAGGGAAGGTTTACAAACCCTTGTGGGATTGTGAAGCTCCTCGGGGCTCCTATGGTTAAAGGCAGGAATGACGTCTGTTTCAACATCTAGTTTTCTAAAGCAGATAATAAAACGCATATATAAACATTTAGTTCTTTACAAACAGAACAGTCTGAGAACACACTGAGGGAGGTGGTGGGGAGTTGAGGGAGCTCCCAACTCGGCGCAAGCCAGACAAGCACATTCAGATTCACCATCAGGTTCCATCACCCAGAGGGTTTGTCAGCCAGCTAGGTCCTCAGCTGCCATGATGGTTTCAAATAGTTCTTGGTTTGAAACACATATTATTTCATTTATGTTCATAATGGTTTGTTGGTTAACAGCAGGATACACATGAAACATGTAGCATATTTCAGAATAAATTACACTGAGTTTTGGAGGGAAGATCAGAGACTCCAAAATATTGATGACTTACCTGAAGCTGAAATTGTATTTTATCTGGAGGGCTTCTTTACCCATAATTAAATACTGTCTTCCTTTTACCAGGTCGGCGTTAGCACAGGTAATCTTTCTAATGAAGGTGATTTCAGAGTCTTTCTCAGCAACGGCTTCTCCTGAGTGACACACAAGTAAGGTTATCACGTTCATGTTTTAATGTCACAGTTATAAACTCTCTCTCACGCTTTTCAGTTCCTTATGGCTACAGAGAAGTTCATGGCTATTGAGGAGTGGCAATACCCATGTGGTTAAGACTTCAGACTCTGGAGCCAGACTCTGGGTTAAACCCTCGTGTGCCACTTCCTGGCTGTGTGGCTCTGGGCAAATGACTTATGCTCTCTGCATAAGAGCTCAGATCCCTCATCTGAAAAAGGGGCATGATAATGAAACCTACCCTGTAGAATTATGAGATTAAATGCATTAATATACGAAAAGTGCTTACAACATAGTAAGAACCATATAAGTGTTTGTTATTATTACTCTTGTAGAGCCGGAATTAAAAGAAACGCTCTATGGTTGAACAATATTAATCTCCATATGTTATATAGCAAAATACAAAAGTATTTGGTAGCTGGCAATGGTCAACTTTGTAGAAGAGTACAAGATGAGAAAGACTTGGACAATTTTAAGGACAATAACTTTGGGATTCCCAAAGAACTCAGAATCAGCCAAGAGGCTCGTTCCTCTACCTGGAATGCATCCCTCCCCACGTTGATCTGTTGAATTTAATTTGTCTTTAAACCCTTCTTCAATTCTCACAGTATCCATACACATTTCTTGATGCTCTTTGTCGTAAATATCTTTCTCTTTCTCCCTTATTTCTTTTATACCTGAACTTCTAACACAATGTTTTGCCCCACATGTCTGTCTCCTCAGCTAGACTAGAAACTTCTTGAAGCAGAGATTATGTCTGATTTACTACCCTATATATTCAGGGCCAGTATCCAACTATTAAACTCTGGCAGGGTCATCCTAATTGTTAAATTCTGAAAAACTTCTGAACCTGTTGGCAAGTAGTGTATGATAGCAATTATATAAATGACAAACTTTCATTAGTAATATAAATTTTAGTGTATATGCATTAGTTCAAGCTAATTTTCCTAGGCTGTCCCAATGACATAGCTTCCTGTTGCAGCAACATCTGAGCAATGTTCCCAGCACTATCTCCCAATTCAGCCCCTGTCATAGTAAGCAGTGTGGCTGTGTGGGGCCTTATTATTTTTTAAAACTTTAAATGCTCAACATTTCTCATCATCAGGGAAATGCAAATTAAAACCACAATGAGATATCACTTATCTCCAGTGAGACTGGCCTTTATCAAAAAGTCCCAAAACAATAAATGTTGGCGTGGATGCGGAGAGATAGGAACACTCATGCACTGTTGGTGGGATTGCAAACTAGTGCAACCTCTGTGGAAAGCAATATGGAGATATCTTAAAGAGATACAAGTAGAAGTACCATTCGATCCAGCAATCCCATTACTGGGCATCTACCCAAAAGAACAAATGATACTGTATAAGAAAGACACCTGCACCCGAATGTTTATAGCAGCACAATTCACAATTGCAAAGATGTGGAAACAACCCAAGTGTCCATCAATATATGAGTGGATTAATAAAATGTGGTATATGTATACCATGGAGTACTATTCAGCTTTAAGAAACAATGGTGATATAGCACCTCTTGTATACTCCTGGATAGAGCTGGAACGCATTCTACTAAGTGAGGTATCCCAAGAATGGAAAGACAAGCACCACATGTACTCACCATCAAATTGGTATTAACTGATCAACACATAAGTGCACATATAAGAATAACATCTATTGGATGTTGGGCAAGGGGGAGGGGGGAGGGGGAAGGAGGGAGGAGGGAGGAGGGGACGGGTATATGCATACACAAAGAGTGCAATGCGCACCACCCGAAGGATGGACATATTTGAAACTTGGACTTGGCGGGGGGGCAAGGGCAACATACATAACCTAAACATCTGTACCCCCATAATATGCTGAAATAAAAAACAAACAAACAAAACAAAACAAAAAAAAAACTTTTTGTTGTGGACAATTTCAAACCTATTCAGAAGAAGGGAATAGTTAACTAACTATTCCCCAGAGAATAGTTAACTAACCCCAGCTTCAACAATCACTAATCTTTTTTTCATCCATATCCTCACCTACTTTAAATACCCTATGCTTTAATAAGTATTAAAAATGAACATCCAGAATGAAGAGATAAAGCATATGCAAAAGTTTCTTAACATTTCCTTTTAAATATAAAGATTAATCTTCTGAACCTATAGGAGAAGAAAGAATAAATAATACTAATAAATGACTACAGCTTGGGAATCATCTGATGCTGTGCAAAATTCATAAGAGTCTGGAATGTCTTTGGATGCTATGCAAGAATTGATACAAAATAAAGCAAATGATTTGCATTTCTGGAATGAAAAGCACTTTGTTATTTCAGTAAAAAAGAAATGGCTTATGATTGCTTATGATGTCAATGTTGGATGCAAATGGTGCTCATAACTTGGATTGTGGAAAGATCAAAGTGCTAAACATTTATTACAATGGAATGGCAATCAGGGTTCAAATAAAGAAAATTTGTGACCATCAATGAAGAACAAAATAACATAACATCACAAATCAGTTTCAGTGAAGCATTTTAAATAATAAAAAACTAAAAAAATTTTTTATCAATGTTGATAAAGCAAATAAAAATTTGAAAAGTATTAATGGAATTTTAAACTCTAGAGTATTGTTAAAAATAATCAAGCCAAGAGGCTGAGGTAGGGAGAGCCGTGGAGCCCAGTTTGAGACCAGCTTGGACAATATAGCAAGACCCTATCTCACAAAAAAATTAAGCATTTTCAGACTTGAAATACTTGATAGAATTTCAAAAGAGAAGCCAGGTGCAATGGCTCACACCTGTGATCCTAGCACTCTGGGGGGCCGAGCCAGGAGAATCACTTGAGCTCAGGAGTTTGAGATCAACCAGAGCAAAAGCAAGTCCCCATCTCTACAAAAAATAGAAAAATTAGCCAGGTGTAGTGGCATGTGCCTGTAGTCCCAGCTATTCAGGAGGCTGAGGCAAGAGGATCACTTGAGCCCAGGAATTTGAGGTTGCAGTGAGCTACAATGACACCACTGCACTCTATCTGGGGTGACAGAGTGAGATTCTGTCTCAAAAAAAAAAAAAAAAAAAGAAAAGAAAAAAGAATTTCGAAAGAAAAAAATCAGTATAAATATATTATTGCAATTTAAATTTATGGTCCTACTTATTGCAAAATTTATATCTACTGAAATGAGAAAATAACTTTTTGGAAGATATAAATAGGGTGGTAAGATACATTTTAATCATTATCGAATAAATCAACTATTTCATTTAAAAATGTTTTAAATAACTTCAAATGAAAAGTTGAAGATTTTGAAGATGGCTTATGGTTTTTGTTGGTCACAAGGTACTGGAAAGAACACATGAACAACATATCAAACAGCTTTGCTGAGATTTGAGAAAAAAGGATTCAATGAGAAATATTTATATGAACACCTTTAAAAAATGTGTCTCACCAAGTAGAATATAAGCTTTATGAAGGCAGGAACCCTGGCTGGTCTTATTCAAGTTGTATCCTCTGTGTCTAATATAATGCCTGGCACACAGTAAGTACTAAATATTTGTTGAATGAAAGAATGAATAAATGACTTCTCACCAGTTTTGTAGATATCCAGAAGGGTTGCAGTGTACTTAATAAAGACATTTTCTTCAGTGATGGATGTGATGCTAACTTTATAAGCTGGTAAAAAACGAAAACAAAAACAAAACAATTTAGGCTTAATACAACTAATGTTATGTCCAATAGAAGCCAGAATTTGTCAAACGAATGAGAAATTAAGTATGGCAAGCTATCATGGGCACCCTGAGGTAGATCATATTTCTTCCAAGAAGCCTTTTCAAATCCCCTCATTCTGAGTCAATCTCTCAGTCTGAGTCATTAGGCCTGGCCACTGTTATATAACAGGCTGATTAAGACAAATTCATATTAAATTAAATAACAGAAGCACATAAAACAAACAAGCCTTTGTTAAATGTAAGGTTCAGGTGCTGATCCTTTAAGATTAGCAGAGTCATGCCCATGGGCATCCTTTGAAAAACCTCTTCTCTACCTGGCCACAGAGGGGGCTTTATCTACTCTTCAGCCAAACCATGTGAGCCTCCTTCTTTCCTCGCCTTGCTGCCACCTTGTATAGCTCCACTGGCTTTCGTCTTTGATTTTTAACAGAATTCTTTTTTTTCCTCATTCATCCTTGCTTGGATTGGCAACTATCTGACATGAACCACTCCCAATCCTGTTTTCTGTTTATTCAGGCATCAATATTTGATGCATGGTGTGTTTGGCCTCAGCTCTGGAATGACCAGCTTGAAGGAACCCATCCCTTCTATGTGGCCTCAGAAAAGACCCCTTTTATTTTGTTTTTGATGGAGTTGAAATGAATGACCTAAAAGGTTTGTCCATTTTTGAGATTCTGCAAGTCTATGAGTCTCTCCCAGATATAGATAGATAAATAAATAATAGATAGATGGGTGAACTCATTGTGGCTGAGCCACAGGTATGCTAATTAGTGGCTTAAAATGGATGAAAAATGTTCTGATTTTCAGATTCTTAAGTCTTTATGGTGAACATGGGTATGGGTATGGGTAGAGAGAGGGAACTTACATTTATTACCTGTGTTAAAATGGATTTTAGAGTGAAAATATTCCTCAAATGAAGGGAAGAAATAATTTAGCGAAATTTTTATTTGTTAAAATATATAGTATTCTCTTCAAGTCTTGATGTAAATTTTAAAAATTGCAGGGGGTCCTGGCAGAGTTAGACAGCTTTTTGACCTTTGTAAAAAATAAAGATGAATTCAAAGGAAAGAAATGCTACAAACCATACAAAATGCATTCTGGTGGCCGTATTTCTATTAAGAGAATTCAGTAGACTATGATGGAAATAATATTGGAGATCAGGAAGCATCCCAGTTCTACCACTTACTTCCTGCATGACTTTGCACAAATTATTTAATCTCCCTGAGCCTCAGTGTCTTCACTGACAAGGTGGTGGTAGATCCTCTGCTACCTCAAAGGGCTCGTATGGAACTCCAGTGAGAAATTGTATATGAAAGCAGTTGGTAACAAAAGTACCAAATCAGCTCTACTTATTTTTAAATTTATAAATAATTCCCTTCTAATTTCCAATACAAGATTTGAGATAGTGTCCAATATACTCCTTCTCTCTCAAAAAAAATTGAAAACTATGGATAGAAAATAAAGGAGCTAATTCTGTCAGGAATTGAGACAAGGCGACAACTGTACTTGAGCATTGATTTGGCTCTGAGCTCTGGGCAACTAGAAGGAGATCCTCCTTTTGAAATGGAGAGAGTCTCAAACATGGATTGCAATTCCACATACATTGAAAATTATTTAGTATTTCTGTTTTTACCTTGAAGAGTTTCTAATAGAACCAAACCTCCCAAATCACTTCAGTTTCTGCCTCTGCTCTATCAACTGCAAGAATACAGAACTGACATTTTAAATCTCTGTGGCTTCTCAAAAGTTCCCTTTTGAGTATGTTTTAGTGCCTGTCATTCAAAAGTTTCTTGGCTGTGTGCATGTCACTTCTATTATTTTTAATGAAAAAAATCACACTTCTTTGTTGAAGAATAAATAACTTTGCATGTTAATGCTGAAAATTGATGGCATTTTCCTTCGAGAGAACACATGGAATGTTGTTTCCATATAATCACTATGTAAAGTTTTTGATTTTTCTAACTGATCTTATTTTCATAAAATTTCATGTTTAAAGGAACTCTATTGAACTTTTGAACTTACCATATGCAATCTCTGGTTTACATGCTGTTTCTTTTCTAGTATCTGCAGAGATTGTCAGATCCAATGCTTCCTGCATTTGCCCACAGTCAGCTGGATTTTGTGAAAAATGATATAAGTCAGCTTAATGTAAAGAAGCAGATACTCTCTCTGGGAGTAAACATGATTTCTTATAAGCCCAGAGACAATCCAGTATAATCTTACAAATGCCAGATTCCTAAGGCCAGCCCATTTTGTCCTCTTCCACAAAGTGAAACATTATATACAGCAAAAACAAAACAAGCAAAAACAAAAACAAAACCAAAACCTTGAGCATAAGTCTTATTCTTAGAATGAGTGGTTGCTCCACATTCAGCTCTTCAGAAATGCATATGCTTCCCTTGAAGAAAGGGGGAAATTTTTCCATTTTGAGTACAATTAAAAGTCCTTTGAAGAACCCAAAATGATTATTTGACGATTTGTAGCTAAAAGATGGCACAATAAGTACCTAGGAAATGTGCAGATATTACAGATTTTGAAAAAAAAAAAAAGCCCAAAACAAACCCAAAACCAATCCAGACCCTTTTGGAGTGGTTGATTATCGGTGAGTTCTGGATCTTTTCCTTGCCCAAGAATTCTGTCTTTGATTTACAAGCGACTGAATGGAACTGGACAATAAACAGAGAATTCCATTAACTGGAAGGATAAGAGGAAAGAAAGAGGAGCCGTGTCTTAGACCTGAGCCTCTGTTCCTCGGGTTGTGGTCCTATTATGTTAAAAGACTAAGTGAAAGTAAAATTTCACATCGTGTTAACCCTGTGATAAACAACAACTGTCTGGATGGTGTTTCTCTGTCTCTGAACAGTACAAACCATCAGGTTGTTCAGGAGTTATAGAGAAGTAGCTTTATCATGCTCAAGGAATCATTAGCTTTCAGTCAACTGATAGTACATTTCTACTTCTTAGAAATGACAGTTTGCCAAACAACTTCCCCCAGACTAACCTCAGATTATGAGTGGCTGCTTTAAACAAACATGTAGCTTAAATATGTTAAATGAAGTTTACCTTCTACACACTTGCACATGGCTCCTTCACAGACTTTCTGAAGTTTGGTATTGGAAGTGCTATAAAACATGGTGCACTGTTTATCTGTGGCAATAAAAGTATGGTTAAGAGAAATGGTGTAATTGATGCACAACACATTTACTAATCGGTGAGTCTCTTACATGGGACCTCAGAGATTCCCTTTTCCAAACTCTTCTTTTTATAGCTAAGGCCCAGGGAAGTTAAATTATGAATTGGCTATTCTGGGAAGGGGCCCTCTACCCACAGAAAGATTTCCCCTTGTTTTGTGCCTGAAATTTTCCTGTTCAATATTTATTTCTCAGAATGAAAATATTTGATGCTTCCATGAATAAGAGGAAAATAAATTATGTTACATGAGGATCTACTGAAAGAATTGCAATTGTTTAGGCTGGACAAGAGAAGAAAAGCATATATATCTCTCTCTCAAGAGGAAGAGGGCTCTAGGTATATCCTGTGTGATTTCAGAATATAAAACTAGAATAAATGGGTATCAGAGTTTGGTTCACTTTAAGAATATTCTGACAAGTAGAACTGCCCAAGGTGGAGTCATCTGTCATGTGAACCAATAAGCTCTCCAGTCACCTAACATTCTCTGAGTAGTCAAATGTGGGATCATTCATTCAACAAATATTTATCAGGTTCACATTATATACTTGGCACTGTGTTAGATACTAGGGGCAAAAGAATGAAAACACTCTGGCGTTGGTAAGAAAGACATACAAACAAATAATTACAAGGCAGTGTTATAACTTCCACAATACAGCTATCTGCAAAATGTAATAAGAATATAGATGGGGTAGAGGTTGTTCTGAGGAGATTAAAGAAATAGAAAGGTTAGTGGGCTTCTCTAAAAAGGAGAGATGTGATGAATACTGAAAGTGAACACCACAGATAAACTTGAGGCAAAGAATTTTAAAGTTGTAGGAAATATAATCCAGTTATTTTAAAAATGAAGAAACTCATGACTGAGAAGTGAAATGATTTGCTCAATGTCATGAAGTAGTTTGTATACAGTAGTTGGTATGAATGTTCTAGTTGAGACTTTTATGAAGAGTGGTGTCCAAAAGAGGCAATATATAAAATTTACAGGACTCTGGTGGATTTCTAAATGTTATGTAAAAAATGTAAAGTAGTCTTCCAAGGAAATTTTAGAGTAGAGTTGATTACCTGGTCTGTGGTATTCATACACTGTGAAAGTAGCAGGACTAAGATACCCAACTTGAAAAAGTTCAAATATCCGGAATCGGACACAAAGGAAATCACTGGAGGGAATCTGTTTGACAAATTCAAGGATTTAAAAAAATTATGGGAGAGAAGAAATTCATAATATTTTAACCTGTAAATTCTGAATAGTAACAGTAAAGGAAAAATGGTAGGAGGTGGAGCTTACCGAATTCAGTTGCAAAATAACATGTCCATCTTTGATTTGGTAATCAGTTAAGAGTTGATCTACCCCATCAACAAGCTAGGGAAGGAAAGAAAAAAGCTTGAATTTAATTTCATTATCTTTCATTTAAATGCATTCACCTGTTGATGAGATATTAAATCACAGGGATGTGATCCACTACTCAAAGAAGTTGAAGAGCAGTTCCTCCTCTTGAAAGAGTCTGAACAGTTAGCATATGCAATCAGGTTTTTGGGCCATGGAAATATGCGCTTCCATTTCACTTTGATAAATCAAAACTTAGGTAGATTGTTGTTTTGGAAAGAATATTCTGGGTAATTCTATGAAAGTGGCATACTAAAATGAAAGGAAATAAATTTATCTATAAAATAATTCAGAAAAGAAAACCAAGCATTCATAACAATATTTAAAAGAAAACACTTACTGCTTTTAAGTCATCTTGGTTTGCATTGATTCCAGTAGGCAGGGAGATATCCATCACTGCATGGGAGGATCCAGATGATGATTCTCCTGTACTGGGCTTATAGCTAAAATATATAAGAGATTAGGAAATGTAACAAATAAATGGATAAGATTCTTTAAGAAAAGACCCTATTCCTAAGTAGTCCTAATTTTTGAATTTGGGTTTCCCTTTATTTGCTTTTCTACATTATACGGGTTCAAATTTCTGAATTTTAGAGTTGCAAGAGATCTTTGAGTCATCTATTCTCTTTCCTCACTTGACCAGTAATCTCAGTGGACCACTATTCTGGGGCATAGAGGTCATCCACTCCAAGCTAACTAGCAGGGGAAAATGAGAATGAGAGCAAGGCACTGGTTCAAGGTCACATGGCTAGTTCATACAGAGCTGCATAAGAATCTAGGTATTAAGTGGGCTTCATCCCAGGGATGCAAGGATGGTTCAACATATGTCAATCAATAAATGTGAGTCACCACACAAACAAAAGCCAAAACAAAGACCATATAATCATCTCACTAAATGCAGAAAAAGCATTTGACAAAATCCAGCACCCTTTCATGACACAAAAACCCTCAACAAACTAGGCATAGAAGGAACATATCTCAGAATTATAAAAGGCACATATGACAAACCCACAGCCAATATCATACTGAATGGGGAAAAGTTGAAAGCATTTCCCCTAAGAGCTGGAACAAAACAAGGATGCCCACTGACACCACTCCTATTCAGCATAGTGCTGGAAGTCCTAGTGATGGCAATCAGGCAAAAGAAAAATATTAAGGGTATCCAAATCCGGAAAGAGGTCAAACTATTGTTCTTCACTGACGATACAATCTTGAATCTAGAAAAACCCAAAGATTCCACTGAGAGTCTCCAGAATTGATAAATAAACTCAGCAAAGTCTCAGGATGCAAAATCAATGTACATAAATCAGTAGCATTTTTATATACTAATAACAGACAAGCTGAGAGTCAAATCGAAGACTCAATACCATTCACAATAGCTACAAAGAAAATAAAATACCTAGGAATATACTTAACCAAGGAGGTAGAAGATCTCTACAAGGAGAACTATGAAATGCTGAGTAAAGAAATTACGGAGGATACAAACAAATGGAAAAACATATCATGCTCATGGATAGGTAGAATCAACATTGTTAAAATGTCCATGCTACCCAAAATGATTTACAAATTCAACTCAATACCCATCAAGTTACCAAAGTTATACTTCACAGACCTGGAAAAAATAATTCTACACAAAAAGAACAAATCTGGAGGCATCACATCACTGACTTCAGACTACACTACAAGGCTATAGTAACCCAAACAGCCTGGTATTGGTACAAAAATAGAGACATAGACCAATGGAACAGAATAGTGAACCCAGACATAAAACCATCTATCTACAACCAGCTGATTTTTGAAAAACCAGACAACAGCAAACTCTGGAGAAAAGAAGCCTATTTAATAAATGGTGCTGGGAAAATTGGATAGCCACATGCAGAAGAATAAAACAGGACCCCTACCTCTCACCACTCACAAAAATTAATTAAAGATCAATAAAAGACTTAGATCTAAGGCATGAAATCATAAGAATTCTAGAGGAAAATGTAGGAAAAACTCTTTTAGACATCAGCCTAGGCAAAGAATTTATGAAAAGACCCCAATAGCAATCAGGGCAACAACAAAAATTAATGAATGGGATTTGATTAAAAAGCTTCTGGCATAGCTAAGGAAAGAATCAAAAGAGCAAACAGACAACCTACAGAATGGGAGAAAATATTCATAAGCTATATATCCAACAAAGGGCTAATAACCAGAATTTACAAAGAACTCAAGCAAATCAGCAAGAAAAAACCAAACAACCCTATTAAAAAGTGGGCAAAAGACATGAACAACAGATGCTTCTCAAAAGAAGAAAGACAAATGGCCAAGAAATATATGAAAAATGCCCAATGTCACTAATAATCAGGGAAATGCAAATTAAAACCACAATGAGATAAGACCTTACCCAAGTTAGAATGGCTTTTATTAAAAAGTCCAAAAACAATAGATGTTGGCGTGGATGCAGAGAGAAAGGAACGCTTGCTTATACACTGTTGATAGGACTGCAAATTAGTACAATCTCTATGGAAAACAGCATGGAGATTCCTCAAAGAACTAAAAGTAGGCCTACCATTTGATTCAGCAATTTCACTACTGGGTATCTACCCAAAGGAAAAGAAGCCATTTAACCAAAAAGACACCTGCACTCATATGTTTATTGCAGCACAATTCACAATTGCAAAGATGTGGAATTGACCCAAGTGCCCATCAATTCATGAGTGGATTAATAAAATGTGGTATATGGAAATGTAACCATGGCATTCTACTCAGCCATAAAAAAAGATGAATTAATACCTTTTGTAACAATCTGGATGGAACTGGAGACCATTCTTCTAAGTGAAGTATCTCAAGAATGGAAAAAGTAAAACCACATGCACTCACTATTAAATTGGAACTAACTGATGAGCACACATATGCACAGAGGGAAGTAAAACTCCGTGAAAAGAAACCAGGGGGTAGGGGGAAGAGGGAGGGAGAGAAACCAACCCTAATGGGTGCTACGAACACTATTTGGGTGATAGGCACACCTATAGCCAGGACTCAAGCATACAAAAATGATTCACGTAACCTAAAACATTTGTACCCCCTAATATTCTGGGGGAAAAAAAGAATCCAGGTCTTTTGATTCTTGCTCTAGTTCTTTTTCTAATGAAGGATATTCATAGGAGAAAATTAGTTGTATATTGAAAAGAGATTCAATAAATATGTCGAGGAAAAGCTGGAAGGTAACACAATAAAATGTTAATGGTTACTTTCTTTGGCTGGTGGGATTATAAGTGATTATTCTTTTTAATTTTCATGTTTTTCTCTATTTTCTAAATTTTCCACAATAGGTACTTTATTTTAAAAAATAATGTTTCAAGGACTATTCCTTGTCTAGGAATTATGTTAGTGGGAAGTTAAGCAGAAATGCAAAGAGGGTAAAATGGGAGGGGTTTTTTTGTTTTTGTTTTTGTTTTTGTTTTGTGAGAGAGAAAAGAACACTGAAATGGGGAATCAGAAACTTGGGTTTTATCCCAGTTCTGCTGAGAGACTCCCACAAATCATTTCCCCTTTCTAAGCTCACTTTCTCATTTGTAAAATTAACTGTGAAAAAATATAAACTTGTGTTTTAAATTTATCTTTATAATTCCAAGGCTTTGGTTTTGCGTGGCAGGGGCCATTAGGGAAAGTTAGAGGACTTAAAATAGGGACAGGTTGGTGGGGCAAGGGCAGGGGTGGGACAGAGGGAGTGTGGTTCTGCAAAAGTTGATTTTAGGTTCCAGCCTCACCTCAACATGCTTAAGAGGCAGCTTGATATTTGAGAGTGGAGTTTGGAAAAGCGGTCAGGATTAAAAGGAAGAAACTGGGAAGGCAGCTTCATAAGGAGGAAGATGAATTGATCTCACCTACATGAGTGAGTATTAGTAAAATAGGAGATATTATGTGAGTTAATGAGTTTCAGCGCATATCATTTCTTCAATCACACCTCATAGAGCATCTATAAAGGAGTCCCTATTAGAAGTTTTAAATGTAATATTTACCACAATAATTAAAAGTATTATAAATCTCTGACTCATAAAAACTTAACCCCATTCTTCACCCAATTAACAATTTAGAACAGAATATAAGACATTGGATCTGCAGTGTCACATCTGAGCATCTCCCTAATTGGATGGATAGAAGCAGAGAACTCTTGCTCACATATGCAAATACTTTGTCAACGAGATGGAAAAGGGCCTCCTGAGTGGAGCCTGTCTATGAAAAGGTTGCTGGAGCCTTGATGACTAGTTGCTATGGAGACTGTTTCAATGGTGGAACAGAAATCCTCCTTTCAAGAAGCCTTTGCCTGCTGCCAAAACCAGCGATCTTCCCCAAAGGCATTTTGTTGCTGGAGAAATGAAATCTTTTTTTCTTTTCTTACGAATACAACAGAGAGGTTGTAAAAAGCTAAATGCATGAAAGAGACCCTCTGAACATAGAAACTGTGAGCTGGCATTTTTTAATCAGGAGAGAGAATATTTGAAGGCAAAGAATTTCTTACATGAATAAGTACTACACAGTTACTTTTGGAATTTACCCAACCTAACTTCGGTGTCACAGAGCCAAAAGGATATTCTACCCGCCTTTTTGGAACATTCTGTCCCCAATTTGTAAAAACCAAAGGATAGAATATTCAAGATTAAATTTCTATTTGCTTTCTTTTGTATATTGACAATCTGGAATTAGGCCTCCTGTCAATGAAGTCAAATGAGTTTTTAATAAGAACTTCTTTATGTTTTAATATAGCAGAGCTGTGGACAACTGGAATGGGCAGAAACTTTGAGATAAGGTAATGCAATATCCTTGCTTTACAAAAGAGGACTGGAGAAGTGAACTGACTTGCCAAAAGTCACTTGGATACTTCCTGGAAGAGCCTACCCCACAGCAGGTATCTCAACCTACTGTCAGAGAGCCCTTCTTTTTAAAAAAATTTCAGTATTTTTAGGGGGTACAAATGCAGTTTTGTTATGTGCATATATGGTATAGCAGTGAGGTCTGGGCTTTTAGTGTACCTGTCACCGAGATAGTGTACATTGTACCCAATAGGTTAATTTTTCATCCCTTACCCCCTTCCCACCCTCCCATCTTTGGAGTCTCCAATGTCTATTTTTCCACTCTGTACAACTGTGCATACTCATAGCTTAGCTTCCACTTATATGTGAGAACATGTGGTATTTGATTTTCTGTTCCTGAGTAACTTCGCTTAGGATAATGGCCTCCAGTTCTATCCAAGTTGCTGCAAAAGACATTATTTCATTCTTTTTTATGGCTGAATGATATTCCATGGTATATATCTACCATATTTTCTTTATCTACTCATTGGACACTTATGTTGATTCCTTATCTTTGATATTGTAAATTGTGCTGTGATAAACATATGAACGTAGGTATCTTTTTGATATAATGACTTCTTTTCCTTTAGGTAGATACCTAGCAGTGGGATTGTTGGATTGAATTTTTTGAGGAATCTCTATACTGTTTTATATAGAGGTTGTACTAATTTACATTCCCATCAGCAGTGTATAATTGTTCCCTTTTCACCACATCCACGCCAACATCTATTGTTTTTTGACTTTTTAATAATGGCCATTCCTACTAGAGTAAGATGGTGTCTCATTGTGGTTTTAATTTGCATTTCTCTGATGATTAGTGATGTGGAGCATTTTTTTCATATTTCTTTGGCCATTTGTGTGTGTGTATATTTTTTTTTTTTAGAGACAGGGTCTCATTCTCTTTCCCAGGCTAGAGTGCATTGGCATGATCATAGCTCACTGCAACCTTGAACTCCTGAGCTCAAGTGATCCTCCCACCTCAGCCTCCCAAATAGCTAGGACTACAGGTGCATGCCACCATGCCTGGCTAATTTTTTAATTTTTTTGTAGAGATGGGATCTCACTATATTACCCAGCTGGTCTTGAACTCCTGGCTTCAAGTGATCCTCCTGCGTTGGCCTCCCGAAATGCTGGGATTATAGGCATGAGCCACTGTGCCTGGCCTGTATATTTCCTTTTGAAAAATGTGTGTTCATGTCATTTGCCTACTTTTTAATGGGGTTTCTCTGTTTGCTGATGATAAGATTATACCTAGAAAACCCTAAAGACTCCTCCAAAACACTTCTAGATTTTATAAATGAATTCAGTAAAGTCTCAGGTCCCAAAATCAATGTACACAAGTCAGTAGCATTTCTATATACCAATAATGACCAGGCTGAGAACCAAATCAAGAACTCAATCCCATTTACAATAGCTTCAAAAAAATAAAATACCTAGGAATATATTTAACCAAGGAGGTGAAAGATCTCTACAAGGAAAATTACAAAACACTGATGACAGACAATGTAGATGACACGAATGGATGGAAAAATATTTCATGCTCATGGATTGGAAGAATCAACATTGCTAAAATGACTAAACTGCACAAAACAATCTATAGATTCAATACAATTCCTATCTCAATACCAAAGTCATTTTTCACAGAATTAGAAAAAAGAATCCTAAATTTCATATGGAACCAAAAAAAGCCCAAATAGCCAAAGCAATCCTAATCGGAAAGAACAAAATTGGAGGCATAATGTTACCTGACTTCAAATTATACTACAGGGCTATGGTAATCCAAATAGCATGGCGCTGGTTTAAAAACAGACACATAGATCAATGGAACAGAACAAACAACCCAGAAATAAAGCCATATACCTCAACCAACCAATCTCTGATGAAGCAGATAAAACCAAACACTGGGGAAAGGACACCCTCTTCAATAAATGGTGCTGGGAAAATTGGATAGCCATATGCAGAAGAATGAAACTAGATCCCTATCTCTCACCATATATAATAATTAACTCAAGATGGATTAAAGACTTAAATATAAGAGCAGAAGCCACAAAAATTTTAGAAGAAAACCTAGAAAAAACTCTTCTGGACATTGGCCTAGGCAAAGAATTTATGACTAAGACCCCAAAAGTAAATGAAACAAAAACAAAAATGAACAAATAGGGCTTAATTAAACTAAAAAGCTTCTGCACAGCAAAAGAAATAACCAACAGAATAAATAAACAACATATAGAATGAGAAAAAATATTCCCAAACTATACATCTGACAAAGGACCAATATCTAGAATCTACAAGGAACTCAAACAACTCAGCAAGAAAAAAAACAGAGAGTCCTTCTTTATGCTAACTCCAGATACCTTCCTGTAGGCATCTAGATGATTCTAGCTCTGCTCAGAAGTTTGCTCACATCTCCTTGTGACAACTGTTATGGATTTAAAGATAACTGTCATCATGGCCCCTCCCCAGCTGAGAGAGAACCAAGAATAGGAATGGCAGTTAGGAGGAAGAAAGCTGCCTGGGAAGGGGCGACCTTAATGAAAAGACATTAGAGAATGAGGAAAGATGTTTGAGCGGGAACAGAGAGCAGGGACTGACCAAGGAAGGAAGTAGGAAATGCTGGAAGGAAGAATGCTGCCAAGAAGGGAAGTAGGGCTGAGTAGTGAAGGAATCCTAAGAAGGGAGTGATTGGGCTCAGGACCACAAACAAGGCAGGACAACAGCTGGAGCTGAAAGGGAGGCAGTGAGAAACAATTCGCTGTTCCTGGGCATCAGTGGTCTCAGATTACACTGATTGAAAGAGGTAGTTTAGATACTGGATTGAACATAAGGAGTGGGGCATTTGAGCCCCTGGCTCTGCCTCTCTAACTCTCTGAGAACTTGACCGGTGACTTCACCTCTTTGGGTCTCAGATTCTTTATTTCTAAAATAAGGGGGTTATTATCTCATCCCTAAAGTCCTTTTCAGCTCTAAGCTTTTATACAATTCTATTGAATTTCCAAGTTACCCATACTGAGTGCTTTGGCATCATGTGTGATTATCAGTAAAAACAACAGAATATCATCCATAGATATCACTGTTATTGACGATACAAAGAGTTAAGAAAACGGAACACAAGAGGAAGGGTTGAAGGGTGATAGAACAGGGAAGAAATCTGCATTCTAGTCTTGGTTCTGCCATACTCTGTGATAACCAAAACCAAAAATATATGCACATTTTAAAAAACCTATACTTTCATAAACATTTTAGGATGGTGGCTGTGGTAAAGCAGAATAATGGCCCCCAAGGATGTCTATGTCCTAATCCTCTGAACCTGTGAATATATTATCTTATGTGGCAAAAGGAACTCTACAGATGTGATTAAATTAAGGATCTGAGATGGGCAGATTATCCTGGATTATCTGGGTGGGCGCAATGCAATCACAAGGGTCTTCAAAAAGGAAAGAAGCAGGAGAGTGAGAGAAGATGTGATGATGGAAGTGGGGTTCACAGTTGGAGAGAAAGATTAGAAGATTCTGCGATGCTGGCATTGAAAACAGAGGAAGGGGCCACAGCCAAGGAACACAGGCAGCCTCTAGAATCTGGATGAAATGGAAATAGATTCTTTTCTAAAGCTTCCAGAAAAAATACAGCCCTACCAACCCCTTGATTTTAGGACTTCTGACCTCCAGAATTGTAAGATAATAAATTTGCGCTGTTTTAAGCCATTAAATTTATAGTAAATTGTTAGCTAGCAGCAGTAGGAAATTAACACATTGGCCAATTTAGGCCTCTATATTTAGTCAGCAGAAGATTTAACATCAGTGATTCTCAAGTCTGGCTACCATTAGAACCACCTCTGGGATGAGGTGTGAACTTTGGACATTTCTAAAAGATGTCCAGCCAACTTCAATGTGCAGCCTGAGCTGAGAACCACAGGCTGATAATGGCCAGGGATTTTGCTGGGTAAATGCGATTTTTTTAAGTAAAACAGTAGGATGTGCTTATGAGAGAATCTTTCGCATTTTGTTTTTAGAATACTTATATAACATGTCTACTCTTCTGAAAGATAGGAAAAATTAATATTACACTCTTTGAATCAGAAGACAAAAATTGAGAGAGAAAACTATATGAGCAAAATCAAAGCTGTTCTTTATAGTAAGTAGCTAATTAAGAATATCTATTAGTCTGCATTTTCTAAAAAATTGAACCATTTGGTACCTTCTGGACATATTAAAATTCAAAAGTATGTAAAGTAATAATGGTGTAACAAAAATGAGACATTGAATTGTATACTCCTCTTCGTGGAAACAGGCTCAGGCTCACCTGGCACACGCTACTATGCGTTTATACTCCGAATCACCGTAGCCTCTGTAGCTGGATGCTGGCACACACAACAAACAAGCAAGCACATAAACAAATATGAGAGTAAACTGTTTTTAGCTGTTTTGGAACCTGTCAGAACAGAATCGTTAATGAGAAATTCTCTGAACACTCTTAAAAATGATTTATAATTTGGAAGTTGATGCTTTTGGCAATTTTAACAGAAATTCAAGGCTACTGACAATACCGGCAAGTCTTTAAATAATTAGAAGAGTTCTCTGTTCTCAAAGAACTTATAGTTTGAAGAAGAAGTCATTTAAGATAAATACGTATTGGTAACTTGTCTGGGAGGTGTTGGAGGGAGGAAGAGCAGATGCCTGGATTTGCTGGTAGTTGGGAAGTTTTCTGTAGGAACAGGCTTCTGAGCCACAAATGGAAGACACCAGGGCAGAGGCAGCAGCACTTGCCCTGACCCTGAAGGCAACGGGCTGGAGTGTGCAAATGAACTTGATTTTGGCCTGAGAAGGGAGAGCCAAGCAGAGGGATCTGAATATCACAGGTTAAATGGAAAAAAAAAAAAAAGGCAGTTAAAAAAAAAGCCATACGTACTAGAGAGACCAAATTAAAGATGGAGGCAGAGAAATGTACATTTGCTTGACCCCTTGGAATACAGAAAGGTTAAGGGATGGCAAACTAGCAGGGTAATAGAGAATTCAGTGTCCTGAACTGAAAGCTGACACAAAAGCAACAGAAATTCATCATTCTAGAATTAGACCTTTCTGTGGCTTTACAACTAGTGACACTTTTAAAAAGTAACGTAGTTAGTCAAAACACTTTCTTGATCAATAGTGAATACATTTAGCTTGGTTATTAAGTTTAGTTTCCAACTATGATTAAAGAGTTCCATCTACTGTAATAAATGGCAGTAATGTTTACTTGGATGTCAACCTGCTAAAGAATACGATTAAACATTTTTGTTTTTTGAGCAACCACATTTTTCCTAATCAGGGAAGCTCTCTATTTGACATTCTTTATGTTTAGCCAAAATTACAATATAAATCATGCTGTTTTACCTTCAATGTCCTGGGCATCAATTTTCAAATAAAAGCTGCAAACTTCCTCAGAGGTACCAGTTTTGTGAACTACAGTTCTTACCTACATCGGGGCAAGTAAACAAGAAGATTCTACTTAGAATGGGAAAGTGAAAAACGTGTCATGGCAGTACTGCTGCTGCAAATGGGATGCCTGAAGTGTTATTTTCATAATCCAGAACAAATGGTATACATTAATGACTCATTTTTCCAGCAGCTGGGCTTTCATCAAACTACACAATCTGAAATGTAGCTGAGAAGCCCAAAGTAAGCAAAAAATGACTTCTGACAAGGCAGAAACTTGGTCAAAATCCCATGTGGTCAAATCTGAGCACCTTACTCTACAGTCAAGTTCCCAAGGCTCTCATCTTGTTAAATTAAAATGAGCCTATACATTTTAATTTAACACATAGCACTATAAGGCAAGGAAGTGCAGGTTTCTCCCAGCCCACACACTGTCATGGCCAACAACAAATTTTAAGTATGTATGGATGTGCAGGGGGCTGCCAGAAGTATGTACATCGAGAGCAACCAGAAGTGATAGAAAAGTGGACAATCCACACCCCCATGCAATCTTATAAACAGATCTGGAAGGGATAAAGATATACTAAAGAGCATGATTAAAATCATCAATAGAATGATGATACTCAGACCATACAATCTAAGACTGCATGGATACACATAAACAGCTTAGAAAAGTTTGCAACCGCCAAGTGGCTAAAATAAAAGAAACTTAAGCCTTTATGTATAATACATCAATCCTTAAAGATGCTAGATAAATGACATATGACTATGTTATTAACTACAGAAAAAATATATATGTATATATGCACACATGCATATACACACATAGGTACATATATAATCATAAAATTATATATCTCTATATAAATATAGATAATTTCCACAAATACACAGAATGTATAAATACAACAATTAACATAGTTGTTTTCAAAAATAAATTGTGAGGCCAGTTACAAAGATTGCTATGAAGAATTAGACAAATGAATACTACATTAGTCATGGTTACCCAAACCCAGATTTCTTTGTGGCAAAGTCCCTAACTTTTATGTTACCTAGTACAAATGGACACCTAACTCCCTACTGGCTCTCAATTTAATACTTACATGTACTGTAGCCAAGCCACTGCTATATCCCGTACTGACAATGAGGTCATCACTGAGAGGCACCTGGAAAGGTAGGTAGAAAAACCGTGCTTTCTTTTATCATCCAATAGGGAGGAAGTATAGAAAAATGAAAAGAATGGGCTGACACCTACCAGCCTCCTCTCTCAGAGCTCTTGGGAGATTAAATGGATAAGACATTGAAAATGCTATGCCCATAGTAGGCACTGAAAAATGCTGGAACTTCCCACTTTCCTTGTACAGGTAAATAAGATGGCTGAGATCTCTTGAGTGAGCCAACAAAACCAACATGTCAGAGGTCAGTTTTGGTCACATTTTCATTTATATATGGTTATGGTAAAACTGGATCTTCATCTCCTTTTTCCAACTGAATAAATTTCTTTCAGTGTCTAGCTCAGGAATCAGCATTCTATGTGCCAGCAAAGATCATTTTCAGTAGCACCAGGAACAGGGAACTCCCCCGTAACTCTAGTGTGGGTGCAGTCTATCTTTGGCCCTCTCCCACCTACCCCTTTGCAACCCTCTTCCACCTCTTGATGGTTCATCTTTCCCATTTGTCACTGGGCCTTGTTTGTCAAAACCCCTGATACCTTATCCCAAACCCCTCACACCCCACCCAAGCCTGCCAAATCCTTAGTTGCTGATGCTATTCCCAGTCTGCTAGGAGGGAAGTGAAGATGTGAACTGAGTTGAGTAATTCTCCTTTCCAGAGAAACTCGCCCCCATCCAAATGCTCCCTAATTTGTGGAAAGTATAGGAGAGATCATTTGGAGCAAGGGGCCTGAAGCGTCAGCTCTTCCTTTACTCCAAGTCTGCAGCCTCCCCTTCCCTTTGCTCAGCACGCCAGTGCAACAGGGATTCTGTGTGTTAAAGTTTGTCATTCCTTTCTTTACATTTTAGCAAATGTGGGAAAATAGGTCAACTTTCTTGTTCTTCCTGATGGAATATAGCGGCATTCACTGGAAAACAAGTGCCTTGAGATGCTGCATGAGAAAAGGCGACTGTGGACAAATAATTTTGGGAGATGCTGTGCACTTCCCCCACCTCTACACCTTTCCTCCCCAGAGTCACCTCACGTACTCACATGCATATTAAAGATTAGGGGAATCTTGGATTAACGAACTTGTTTAACTTCATTTAAACTAGAGTTTCCCACATATTCAGGAAACACTGTAGTGGAGAATTTAAAACTAGCTAATAACAGCCCAGGTTTCACATGGAGGCAGCATCCTGGGCTGAGGTTTAGGTTACTTTAAGATGACAAGCAGCCCTAACAATATTACCTCTCTAGAAAAGAATAATTCCAGCTACCTCAGATAGGCCTACCTCTCACATCAAGAGCTCCTCTTTAGAGCTTAGTCTCAGAACGTGAATCTCTGGTGAACTCTAAGTGCTCCCAGGAAAGGAGATACATTCCTCAACTAGGAACCACAAGCACAAATGCCTGCAGAGGCCCATGCACAAAGCAAGAATGGACATAAATGCATATGCAGATGTCATGTGACTTGTGGGGATTGCAGCAAATTGAAGAAGGCATGCCAATGCCCAGAGCCCTGTTACCAGATCTTTGGGTTTTTCAAGGGAAGTTGGGAATCAGATTTTTATTTGAAATCTCTGGATCTTTAAATGTTGCCATATGTCTATGTCTATATCCATATCCATATCCACATATATATATATATAATATATTTTTTACTATGGGCCACTGGTTTGCAATTTTTGCATCAAATTTTATTTGTCATGCTTGTTTACTTTTCACAAATATCAACTTGTGGAGGATGTTAACAATGAGGACTATTTCCAATTATTTGTATATTTAAATACACTTGAAAATAATACAAACACGGTAATTAGGAAAATATGTATTAGCAGCAGTATACTGGCAGTGAATATTAATATAGAAGCTAGTTTTTCCTATGTATCCTTTTCTTGGGGAAATTTTCAAAAGCCATCAGTTTTAACTTTTAAGAATCCAATGGTAGCAAAGGACATGGGGTAAGGAGTTTGGGGACTTAAAGGCTACTTTCACCCTGGCTACAGTCTGCATGGATGACCAGGGCCAAAGGAAACCACTGGCAGACTCCCAAACACATCTTCTCTCTTACTCTGCTGCTGTACTATGTGTGCTATTATCTATGTCTGAAAGGTTCTTTCCTTTTCTTCACCTGGCTAATTCATTCTGATTCATCCATATTTGACCCACACATCTGGACACATTTGACAGACTCCAGTCTGGATTAGGAAACCCCTTCTGTAATTCCATGTACTCATCAAGACTCTTATTTTTCACTGTCTATTTAAATGACAATCTCTCCCTAGCACAGGGGTTCTCTGTGCTTTACTTTTGGATCCCTCGTGCCCAGGATACAACAGGCACTCCTGCTCAGGACGTAACAGGCACTCATCACATGTCTAAGCAGCGAATATACACATTTGTAAAATACGGGTGGAACAGATGATTTCAACAGTCCCATCCAACTGTAAAATATTACAAAAAATTCATCATTTACCTCCACTGGCCTCCCAAGGAAATTCTTCTCTGTCACCTTATATTGGTGGAAGTTACCTTTGTGCTTGTAAGAGACACTGATATCCATGTTCAGGCGGAGTTGTTTAATCAGGAGTGAATATTCTGTCAGGCCCTCGATGGCATTAATTGTATCCTATCAACAATCAGCAAGGCACAAAAATATGTTTAGCTTATTTACATACTCCCTGTTTACAAATGTCCTTCTTTACGAGAGGGTAGGGCAGCACTGTTTGGAGATGAAACTCCAGCTGACTGGTGGAACTGGTTAAGGGATCCACTGCAGAGGTGGAAAGGAGTTCTCTCCCCTGCCCAATAAGATGCTGCTGTTAGCAGAGTCAGGAAGGAAGTGTGGCCTCAGACCTGGGTGCTCTACAGACTCTGTGCACTTAACCTCAGGCAAGTCACTCTTTGCAGAATGCTTCCAGCTCTTTGCATGATTGATTATCTCTTTCTTACCCTTCTGTCTCAGCTTAAGTATCTCCACAGTAAGGCCATAAACTCTCCTTTCACATTATTCTGTTTCAATGTTCCCCTTCCATCCTTTACAGCACTCAGCTCAATTTGTAATACTTTCATTTACAGTTCATTTTTGGCCTCCCCCATCATAGTGTAAGATTCATGGAGCAAGTAGGTATTAATCACATGTCTTTCTTGGTGTCTGCGATGGTTCGAATGTGTCCCTCAAAGTTCATGTGTTGGAAACTTGATGCCCAGTGCAGTGGCGTTGGGAAGTGTTTGGGTCATGGGGGTACCACCCTTTTGAATTGATTAATGCTGTTATTGCAGGAGTGGGTTTTGTTCGTTTGTTTGTTTTTGCAGGTCTGGGTTTCTTATAAAAGCACACATTTGGCCCCTCCTTGCTCTGTCTCTCTCTGTCTCTTTGTCTCTCTTCCTCACCTTCTCTTTGACCTTCTACCATGGGATGATGCAGCAAGAAGGCCCTCACTAGATTCTTGTCCTTTGATCTTGGAATAGCCTCCAGAACTGTGAGCTAATATATTTCTATTCATTATAATTAGCCAGTCTCTAGTATTCTGTTATAGCAGCACAAAATTGACAAAAACAATGTCCATTACATTCAGGAGGTACATATGGTAGCTATTCAACATTGTTAAAGGGATAAGTGAATGAACTTTATCTTTCTGGACCTCATCTTCTTCATCTATAAAATCAGGAAATATGACTAGATCAGAGATGCTAAATATATAGCTACTTCCTCTGCCTATGTTCATGGCAGCCAATACTAATCAATAAAGCACTCTTTTCTGCTAATCCCACAGTTATACCCAAGATGAAACCCATTAGATGATCATTAAATTACTACCGAAGGACCCCTCTACCTCTAAATTTTATATATAGAGACATATATTCTCCATCATTATCTAAACATCCAGAAAACAAGGAAGATGGTAACATTTGAGCTAAACTTTGGATATAGATGTATGTTATACAACTACATAATAGTTGTAAACCATTGCAACTCAAATGAGCTGATAGGTAAATATCAAACAGTATTTCTCTCACTTTTTATTTATTTTTTTGGTGGGGAGGGAGCATCAGTACCTTTACCTACATGGCAGCCATTATTTATCACATAGGATGTGACATAATTGCTGATAATCATACTAGCCTTTCATAGTGATTAAGAATCATAAAGGAAGTACTGGGCTTAGAGTCAGGAGACATGAGTTCTGATTTTGGCTCTGCCACTAACTCCCTGAATGAACCTCCCTGGGCTCATTCCCTCCTCTGTATAGTAAGGGTATTAATGCAGACAACCTCTGGGAGTGTCCTTTGATTCTGGACGTTTATTCATACATGTGGCATGCTAATTTGGTGGACAAAAGCATGGAGGCCAGAGTGAGTGTGGAATGTGTGATATGGGAGCAAATAAAAACGTCTACAGGAGGATGAAACGAGACAAAGAAATGTCACCTGGGTTGAATAAAAGCCACCTCCATGCCTCTGTTCTTCAGATAGCCATTTGATGATTGGGTTGACATAATTTGTTTCTTTCAAGCTCAGGCAGGTAAGTAAAGCGTAGGCAGTGGTTTCCACCATACGTGCTGTACCAGCGTTAGGTACAGAGCTGTCTTTTTGTTGCAGATCATCTTTCCAAAAACGATACATGGGTGGATTACCTGAACATCAACAAATCACATTCATTAACATGATCAAAAATGTGAATTTGATATAACAATTCTAGCAGGTGTATTGTGGCTTTCCAGTTTCTAGAAGTTACTTACCTTTCTTTGTAAGAAAAATGTCCTTAAGACGACCAATACAAAACAAGATCCCTTAATACAGTGCTACTTAACTTTACAGGTTGAACAGCCCTAATACAAAAATCCAAAATCTAAAATGCTCCAAAATCTGAAAGTTTTTGAGTGCCAACATGATGTCACAAGTAGAAAATTCTACCCTGACCTTGTGGGTTGCAGTTAAAATAAAGTCAAAACTTGTTTCATGCACAAAACTGTTAAAATTCTGTATAAAATTACCTTCAGGCTATGTATATAAGGTGTATATGAAACATAAACAAATTTTAGACTTTGGCCCAATCCCCAAGAAATCTCATTATGTATGTGCAAATATTCTAAAACCTGAAAAAATCTTAAATCCAAAACACTTCTGGTCCCAAGCATTTCGGATAAAAGATACTCAACCTATATTTTAAAAGATCAACATAGAAATTCCACGTGTACTAGGGAGAGGTAGTACAGTAGAGTGGAAAGTGAAATAAACTGAGAATTAGTAAATCCAAGTTCTAGTCTCTCCTGCTAACTGACTGTGTCAACCTGGGCAAATTCCTCTAATTTTGTAGGACTTGGTTTCCTAATACCTAAAGTATAGATAATAGTTTCTTCCATGCAGTAAAACTCAAATGAGATACTAAACGTAAAAGTTTTTATAAACCTGAAAACACCATGCACATACAAAGGATTATTATTGTTATTGATATGAAAAGATAAATTGGAAAACCTTTCTCCCTAATGGCAAAAATTCACATCCTGAAAATTATAAGATCATACCCAAAGCCTTATTTCAGTCTCTGATGATCTCCTCTCTCTTTATTTATTTATTTATTTTTAATTTTTTGTAGAGATGGGATCTCACTATGTTGCCCAGGCTGGTCTTGAACTCCTGGCCTCGAGTGATCTTCCTGCCTCAGCCCTCCCAGAGTGCTGGGATTACAGGCATGAGCCACCATGTCCAGTGTCTCCTCCCAATTTAAAGCACTAAAGACAATTTCACATATGTAGTACTTTTCATACATTAGGTTCTAATTATATTTGTTATTGCTTTAGTAATTTACACTTGTAACCTCAAATTCTTCTTGGAACAAATTATTTTTTAAAAAACAATAATGCATATTTGGAAATCATTTTTTTTAAAAAGCCAGTAATGTATATTTGGAAATTTTGATGTATATGTTCACATTTCATAACTACATTATTTGCATGACCTTGGACATGGTACTTTCCTTCCCTCTCAGAGGCTCAGAATTGCTGTATATAAAATGAAGGGTTTAGTTTAGATTTTTAAGGAAACTTCTAGCTCAAACGTTATTTGAATTATTAAGTTCCCTTCTCTTAAATTCTATGATTTTATGATCCATATCTCACAATACACAATAATTTCTTTTGTATTATTTTAGAAGTATCATACAAATGGTTTTGAGGTATATGTTAAAATTTAGTCATTTTTAAACAAATGATGACAGAAGCCAAATTTTGTAGATGGTCATAAACTTCAGTAAGATTTATAAAACTTTTAAAAAACCTCAGGCAGGAGAGGGCTCAGAAGTGCCCAGTCATGCCAATGATCACTGCTACTCCTTCTATTTCTTTACTCTTGACCTGTAGGAAGCAGTATCTTCATTCTTCAAAACAGAATATGTACTTTTATAGCAAACCTGGTAGAATAAAATCCAGGTCATGCACTCCTTTGCTTAAGATCCTCCAATGGCTTTCCTTCTCATTCAAAGCTAAAGTTCTAGGCTCCCTCTGGCCCCACAGCACCTTGACGTGGATGAGACACAGGCACCCCTTGCTTTGGGTGGAAGCGGCTCTAAACCAGGGTGCACAGCTGGGGGACTGGTGCAGAGGCTGGATTTTTGCCCTAATTCACCTGCTCGCTTGGGTGACTTGTCCATCCCACAACTGTATACAGAAGCCCCAAATAGCCTCTACAATGACCTCTAACGTCATACATGACCTGCCCATGCTCCTTCACCCTTTCCTTCCCTGACCTCGCTTCCTACTCCTCATCTCATTCCTCTGCAATCACACTGGCCTCCTTGTCATTATTGGACCGCCAGGCATGTTTGTGCTTCAAGTGATTTGCACCTGCTGTTTCTCCACCAGGAACACCCTTATAGATAGCCACAGGACTTGTTTCCTCACCTCCTTTCAGGTCTTGACTCAAATACCATCTTCAGTGATGCTTAAGCCTAGACGCCCTGTCTAACATTGCAACCCACCCCTCACCTTATCTCCTTTCTCTGCTTTACTCTTCTTCATATCAGTCATCACCAACCTAGCCACAAAATTTTACTTATTTATCATGTTTGTTGCTCCCCAATTAGAATGTAAGTTTCATGAAGGATTGAATTTTTTTAGGTCTGTTTTGTTTGTTGTCTTATCCCCAGAACCTAGAACAGTGCCAGGTACAAAGGAGGTAACCACTGGATACTCAATTCATATTTATGAAGTAAAGGAATGAATGAATATTCATTTAATTAATGAGTAAATGAATGAATAACAGCACTTATTACATTGTATTGTGATGGTTTGTTCCTTGAGGGCAGCAATGTGTCCTACTCAAATTTGCATGCCACCACCTACTTCCCAGAATTAGCAGACTTAGTAAATTCTTGCTGAATAAATGTATGGAACAGGTCATACCTTTAGCCAAAGCTTCCCGCTTCAGGGTTGAAACAATTAAACGGAACTGTGGGTGAGTTTTATCTCCCAGGGAAAGTGCATAGGCAGCGATGGCCAGTGTAAAGGTGCTCCGGGCTGGGAGGGTATTTTCAAGCAGAAAGTTTTCAGCTTTAGTTACAGCTGTGCTGATTTTCTGCAAACAAGAGCAGAAGATACCTAAGTTTGCTTGTCATATCTATGAATGGATATAAACTACCCTCAGGTCATACCATCCTGGGGCAGGCAAGATGAGGGGTGGAAAGAGGACCAACCTAATGGAAATGGATGGCGTCTCAGTGAAGTAAATTCTTCTGAGAGAAGAAGCAAAGCATCATCTCAGAAGGGACAATGACAATGTGCAAACTGGGTTAAGCTTTTTGCCTCAAAATTCTCACTTCCTCTTCAGAGGTTTTGTCCCTTTAATTTCTGATTCCAACATCAGACTTAGTCTCCAGGAAGAAGCAGCACCGAGCATGGACACAATTTTCATCATTTCCTCTCAGCATAGCTGAGACAGGCTCTCATGTTCAAAAGGAGATATACTTAAAAAAAACACCATAAATAGCAGGAAAAGAGTGCTGCCAAAGTACTTTTTGATCCTAAGAATTCCTGAGAAAATAATCCCAATCGCTTTGTCTCGATACTGTTAGAATAGTTATTTTTGGCTAAGTGGGTTAGGAGAAAGCCTGATGCATTGCTGCTGACAACCTGCCTGGCTCCTAGTCTCCCAATTCTGTCTGTGTCTCTCACTCATGTGGCCACTGAGTGCCAACTGGTCCTCTAGGCCCCTGGGAACTGTTCTCATTGATTATTTTGTCTTGTTAAGTATAAATACCAATGCTTTTCAAACAAACTAAAAGAAAATGGTTTTGTCTTATGGTTGCAGTCCTGTAAATTCCCTTGGGTTTTTCCATCTCAATTCTGTATCCTGGTTTGAAGGGTATGTCTAATTGACTTCTGATCTGTAGGCAGGAGTATTTAACCTCAGCTCGGGGCTCCATCTCTTCCCAGACAAGGGTATCATCGTCATCAACCTATGGGATCTTCTGTGGTGATTCACTTAGATGGATCCTCTCTTTTCTCTCCTCAGCTTCTGAGCAAATGAAGCAGAACAAGCTAAAGAAGCAAATTTGCTGTTGTGTCTCTTCAGTACTCACATGGTGCAGAATCCCTCAACTATAGGATAATGGTAACATACATATAGTAGGATTTAGCAGAGATAAGAGAGGGAAGCTGGACACTGGGTCATTCTCCCATCACAGTCCCAGCTATTGGTTCTAGGCTCAGCTCCACAATTCAGTAGGCTGTGACACTTGGCAATTGAATTCACCTTACTTATAGGCCTCAGCTCTCTAAACCGTCAGTGAGTAGGTTGGACTAAGTGATCTTTAATATCTATCATAGTTCTGAAATCCTTTGATTCTGGAGTTAAAGTTATTTTTAAGTAATGTGAAAAGAAGGAAAAGAAACTTTCAAAATTAAGTGTCTTCTGATTGGTGGCCCCTCCAGTATTATGTTATAGAAATAGATGATGGCTGTTAGAGAAAGAAAATGCTCACTTACCATCAGGGGGCATATATCAAAAGCCTTTCTAATTCCAATCACAGTAAAGGCTGTAAGATATAAGGTGTTCTCTTGGGTTTCAACAGGCAAGGTACCCTAAAGAATAAGCAACGTTTTAAAATTAAAGTGAAATGGTGTCTTTAAAGTAAAATGACCTGGTTCTAATCTCCGTTTGAGCCTTATCTCCTACTCTTTCCTTGCATGCAGTCCAGCTGGGCTGCTTACAACTTCTCAGTGAGCTCTGGGTCTTTCTTACTTGAATGCCTTCACCTACCTGTCTCCCCTTCCCCTCCCCAAGCCCCACTTCATACTTCTTCACCACATTCAAATTCTCCCCCTCCTTCAAGACCCTGTTAAAATGTCACCTCCTCTATGAAGCACTAATTGGTCTCTGTTCTCCCATATTTTTTCCTCTTAATGTAGTGATATTCCAGTGCAATGCTTAGAAGACCTTCAGTGAAGTCTGTTTACTTCTCCAGCTTTATTTCATGCCACTCTCCCCCTAGCTCTTGTGGTCCCAGTTCTTTGATGAACCACCTTCTCTCTCTCCAATTCAAAAGGCCAGGCAAAACAAGTATATGAAAAAATGCTGAACATCATTAAACATCATGGAAATGCAAATGAAAAACACAAGGAGATATCACCTTACACCTGTTAGGATGGCTATTATCCAAAAAATCAGAGATAACAAGTGTTGGCAAGGACATGGAGAAAAGGGAACCCCCTGTATACTGATGGTGGGAATGTAAATTAGCAGAGCCATTGTGGAAAATAGTATGGAGGTTCATCAAAATATCAAAAATAGAACTACCATATGATCCAGAAATTCTACTTCTGGGTATATATCCAAAGGAAATGAAATCAGAATGTTGAAGCACTGCGATGTTCAATGTCCAATGTTCAATGAAGCATTATTCACAATAGCCAAGATATGGAATCAACCTAAATGTCCATCAACAGATGAATGGATAAAGAAAATGTGGTATATACTTGTCTCTTGGTATTTGCTGGGGATTGGTTCCAAGACCCCTGCAGATACCAAAATTCATGAATGCTCAAGTTCCTTATATAAAATGGCATGGTATTTGTGTATAACCAACACATGACCTCTCGTATCTCTAGATTACTTATAATACCTAATACAATGTAAATGCTATACAAATAGTTTTTATATTGTATTGGTTTTTAATTGGTGTTTTTTAATTGTTGTGTTTTTATTTTTTATTGTTTTTTTCCTGAATATTTTTGATTTGAGGTTGATTGAATCTGAGGATGTAGAACCCACAGATACTGAGAGCTGACCGTATACACAATGGAGTGCTCTTCAGTCTTAAAAAAGAAGGAATTCCTGCCATTTGTGATAACGTGGATGAACTTAAAGGACATTATACGGAGTGAAATAAACCAGTCACAAAAAGACAAATAATCCATAATCTCGCTTACGTGTGAAATCTAAAAAAGCCAAACTCCTAGAAGTAAAAATAGAATGGTGGCTACCAGGGGCTATGGGTGGTGGTGATTCGGAAGAAGAATAAGTCCCAGAGATACATTGTACAACATGGTTACTCTGGTTAATAACAATGTATTATAAACTTGAAAATTGCTAAGAGAGTAAATTTTAAATGTTCTCACCACAAAAACTGAGAAGTATATGAGGTAATACATGTTAATTAGCTTGATTTAGCCATTCCACAACGTATACATATAGCAAGGTATCATATTTTACACCTTATTTTCAATAAAAAAAGAATGTTAATCCTTAAAAAAAGTGCCAGGCATGCTGTTGCCTCTACTTGAAATGCTCTTTCTGCTTCCCTCCCTCCTACCTGTCTCCCAGGAGCCTGGTTAACTCATTTTTTTCAACTCCCCCAATCTAGGTTAGATCCTCAGCTTTCAATGAAACTCTATTTCCCTTTTCTTAACATGTATCACATACTTGAAATTACTTAATATCTGACATTTCTGCTCGATTGTAAGCTGTATGGTCTCAGTGGCCACACCGGTTTTGTTCACTGTTGTGTCCCTGCCATCTAGCAGTTAGTATGCATTCAACAGATATTTATTGAATAAATAAATGCATGTACAGACATATACATTGATTAGAGTTGCTAGTATTTATACTAGCATTTATACCCCACCTTCTTTACCAGTGTATGAGCTCCTTTCTGGCAGGAATACTATCTGGGGTCCAACCTTCCCACCCCTTCTGCCCTGCTATGCCCCAAATAGTCCCTTGTATGTATTAAGATACTCAGTGAGTGGTTATTGAATGAATGTGGATAGATGAGTATCTTAAGAAAAAAGCATTGTAGTATTTTACTCTTCAAATAGCACCTAGATGATGTCCGTTGCCCCATTTCTTGTGGGAGTTCTAATCTGCTATTATTACAACTGAGGACCACTATGAGAGCCAATGTCAGCCATGGAGGTCACTCATGACTGATAAGAAAAGGATTGGATTGGGGCAGGCAGAAAAAAAGAGATTCTGTTGAATCTTAAAGAAACATTCTAAGGAATAGATGATATAGAGATATCTTGGAGTGATATTATAACTATAGATGCTCCTCAACTTATGATGGGGTTATATCCTGATAAACTCATCATAAATTGAAAATATTCTAAATTGCAAATGTGTTTAATACACCTAACCTAGCTAATATCATAGCTTAGTCTAGCCTACATTAAACATGCTCAGAACACTCACATTAGCCTGCAGCTGGGCAAAATCATCTAATACAAAGCCTATTTCATAATAAAGTACTGAACATATCATGTAATTTATTAAATACTGTACTGAAAGTGAAAAACAGAATGGTTGTATGAGTACTAGAAGTACTATTTCTACTGAATGCATATTGTTTTCACACCATCATAATGTTGAGGACCGTTTGTACTTTTTAATTCAAGCTTATACGTAGACTCTAATCTCAAAATCACTTTGTTGCACTTTTTAATAAATTGACCCCCATCTTTCTCACTAACAGGATGTAAACAGGGTCCCATCTTTCATGACAACACCTTGCAACCTTGACCTGTAAGAAGGCGCTGAACTTCAGATACAGATTCATATCGAGGGTAGGCAGACAAATTAGTATATTTTACTCATTCTGCAATCTCTGGAAATTTATGCCCTGTGAATAATGAATACCTGTCATACAAGATGTCCAAGATATCACTTATCTGACCTCCAGTAAACTTTCTGAAGATCTTGTCACTTCAGATAGTGTAGGAAGAACTTTTGTATTCTTTGCTTGTTCACAAAAGGAGTTTCTTGCAGGATTACATATACTTTTTTCCTTTCTTCTTTTTCATTCTCCCATAAAAAGATGAGAATGAAACTCAAAATTATAAATAAAACTATTGCTAATTTGTACATTTGGTTTCCTTACCTGTAATTTTATTGGTTGATACTGGGAATTTTCCTTGAAAGCTCCATTTTCTAATTGACAGTTCTCAACCAGCCACACTAAAGAATTACAAATTGAATTTTGGTTCTGCTCTACATATTTATTTACTTGTCCAAGTACTCTTAAAGCAAAAGCTGTTAACCTTTAAGACAAAAGAAAATAAATAAATATTTAGAACATTGAATCCCTTTTGGCTTTTGGTTTATAGGGTGTTTTAGTTTATACAATTTTATTCTTTAAAAGAAAGTAACATTTTAAAATATACAATTCCAAAGTAAGTCACTATTTTACAAGGGAAGGGAAGATTTTGGAAGCTCTCCAAAGCATTCAGTCAATAAACGTGAACAGCACGTCTTCTGTGATTACAACATTGTTACCTAGCACACAAACTAAAAATTGATTCCTGGTGATGAAAAAAAAAAAAAAATCTCTGTAAAGCTAAAGATAACAGAGGTGAAATAAATAGCTTTGAGTCAAGGCACTGTCTCATGAACAACAGACATGAAAGAGTACAATCTCAAAATTGTAGATTGTGAAATTTGTACATACCATGGAATGTAAGCTCCTATCTGTGGCCTGAATTCCCCTTCCCAACATTCCCTGGTGTGTTTATCTTTCTTCCCTTTGAATGATGCCATTGACACAGAACTCACTATCTCACAATGAAGCTTTAATGATCATGATTACTTAGTCAAAAAGCAATTTCAGTCTCTACTAATACCCATCAAAGAGCATCAAAGAGGATCAAATTCATGCCCTCCACGACACCTCTTCAATGTCTCAGCTGCCCTAGAGCCCCAATCCTGAGATTCAGACCACTCAACTCCCCGTCCCCAACTTCCTCTTACATAAAATTTGTTCTATCTTTGTGTTCATTTTCATTTTTAAAATGTATTTTAAGTAATTTTTTTCAAGAGGTAAAACCCTCATGTAATTCAAAAATCCAAAAGCATAGAAGGAAATATAAGGAAGTCTCCCTCCTGCTACATCCCCCTGAGAAGGCTACTGTTGTTTCTTGTGCATTCTTCCAAATAGTAAATACAAGAATATAGTCTTCCTGTCTACCTTTCCCAACCACACCCAAATAGTAGAATATTATTTACATTATTCTGTACTTGGCTTTTTTTCATTTAATAATATACCTTAGAGAGCTATATTAATATATAAGATTTCCTCATTTTTTTACAAATGATGTTATACATTAAATTACAGTATTTTGGTACAGATGCACCAAAACTATTTTAGTCATTTCCCTATCTATAGACATTTAGGTTGTTCTTGATCTTTGCTCTAACAGCCTTAATATTTTTTTGATATTAATTGGAACTTGCCTCTCACAACTAGGTGCCTTTTCCCAATTCTTCCTCTGGAGACATCAAAAGTTTGTTTTCTATTCTGTTGACTTTCAGGGGAAAGAATTGAGATCTCCTCTCCCTTTAATCTCCCATGATGCTCCCAAGGAGCAGGAATGCTTCCATGGATTGGGCATGTTCAAGGGCACTCACAGTTTCAAGGATTGGCCTGACTGTTATATTGGGCTCTCTTGGGATTTTGGCTTTTGGAAGTCTCTTTTCTGTTAGCAAGTTATGGAGGCCTGTGAGTGTAGTCAGACTACGAGGCTGGCTATCAGCCACTTGGCCAATTATGTACCGTCTCTGTGCTTCAGTTTCATCTCTGAAAAAAGGCAATGGCAATACATGGAAAAAGGTCACTCACCTCCTGGGATTAATTGTAAGGATTAAATATATGGATACACTTAAAATAGTTGTGGCTTACAGTAAGTATTCAACAGGTGTAAGCTCTTATCTCTCTTTCTCTTTGGTACTTCTGGGTGTCCCAGCCCCAGAGTCCTCAAGGAGTGGGTGTCTACACAGCTCTTCTCTAGTATTGAAGCAAATACACCTTGCTTTAGCTTTTTGTGTTCTCCTCTTCTCATTGACCTGTCTCTCATAGACTAGCCTGAAATTCAAAATTTAAGAGAGACTTGGAGGAAAGGAGAAAGAGCAGGCTATTTGACCTGCTTTTGTTCTAGATCCTAGTCTACCTATAGAAGTTCTTCATATACTCTAGCTCCTCAAGTTTTAAAATAAGGTCTAGGATTAAAATAGTAGAAAAGAATTTTTAAAGTCACTTTGAAGAGAAATCTGGCAAAATCTTGCAAAACTGAAAATGTACATGCCTTATGTTGCAGCAATTCCATCTCTTGGAATAGAGAAACTCTCACACATGTACACAAAGAGACATATGAAGGTGTTCATTACTGTGTTGTTCATTATAGTAAAAATTGGAAATGACTGTCCATCAAAAAGAATGGATAAAGAATATATGATACGTGATATATTTGCAAAGAGAAATACTGCATGGCAATAAAAAGGGATGAGCTAGATTTATCTATATTGTTAGACCTACAAAACTAACTATTGAAGAAAAAGGCAAGTTGCAGAACGATAGGTATAATACGATACTAGTTATGATTATTTAAAAACACAAAAGGGACTCTATATAAATTCATATATATGTATACAAAGGATTAGAAATGGTCTAGAAAGATGCACAAACTCATGCTAGTTAATGCCCTTGGGGGCAAGTAGATGAGAATAAGATGGAAACTTGTGGTAAAAGGAAAAGCTTGAGCTATATCTTTAATGTTTTCTTTTTAAAAGGAAAGATTAAGCTAATATGAAAATATTCACAGTAATTAATTTTAGGTTTTGTTAATATGAATGATATTTGTACTTTTTTGTATCTTCTCTATATTTCTCAAAAGAAATATTTGAGGGTATTCAGGTGCCAGGCATTTTCTTCTATGTATATTATTTCTTTCAAGGAACTTGCGGAGTTAGGTCTAGAATAGTACTCAAGTGTTCCTATGTTTCTGGATGAACATGATCCACTCAGGCTTGCCCCAGACTCTGAAGGTCTGGGTGTTTGCTGAAAGGTTGTTGCACCTCCCCATGGGAATTTTTGTTCTCCAGGCATCTATTTCCCAGGTCTTGTTGTGGCAGTTTCCCAATTTTCATTGACACCCACACCCAACCCTGAACCCTGGGGCTTCTCCTCTGGTTGGCATGCTCCAGGGTCTGGGAGTCTTTTAGGGTGCACCACCCACACTTGGTCAGACCAATTCTAAGGTACAATCTGTAGCATTTGGTAACTGCCGGATATACAGCCATAATGAAAGGGAGGAGTCAAAAACCTACTGATGATTCTGACTTGATCAATGCGGGGCAAAGTGTAGGATATTGCTGGGCACTGATCATGGGAACAGAGAAGTGTGTTTGAGAAAGAAAAGAATGAATTTGGCACCAACTATGTTTGAAGGGCCTTTGCTTCCAGACACCTAGAAATGTGGATCTGCAACTCAGGAAAGAAGTGAGCCCTTGAGATATTGATTAGGGAGTCATCGGCATAGAAGTTATGGAAGTCATGAGCAAAAATGAGATTGTACAAGGAAAGATTACAGAAAGTAAGAGCACTGGAAATGAAATTCTGGGGACTCTTATTTAAATGGCAAAATCTAAAAGTAAATTATTCTAGGTTGTAAATTCCTTAAATGTGTTTCATATAGAACCTATGAAGCACCTGGCACATTGTATTTTTATTAAATATTTTTTCAAAGCATGATAATATTTTTTGAAAATGGACTGCTATAAGGGCTTTTAATCAATTCAGACTGTCTTTCCCTCGAATCACTAGAATTATAGAAATTGTTTCATTGAATAAATATTGAGAACCTGCTATGTGCTGGCTATGTACCAAGTGCTAGGAATACTCAGAACTGCCTATGTGGAGCTTATATCCTAGTGAGGAAGATGGACAATAAGCGGAATAAGTAAAGATGTTAGTAATAAATGCTAAAGAGGAACAGAACATCGGGGAGAAGGAAATGAGGTGTTAGGATGGATTGTAATTTTAGATGTCATGATATAGCACAGGTCTTACTGAGAACGTGACTTTGGTAAAGACCTGAGAGAAATAAGGCAGCCAGCCATGGTTAAACTGAGGGAGGAGCACTCCAGACAGAGGGAACAGTCAGTGCAAAGGCCCTGAAGTAGAGGGAAGGAGTGAGTAGGAGATAAGGTGGGAGACCAGAGGTGGGGCCAGAGCTTTGTAGATCACAATAAAAAGTTTGGTTTTTATTCCAGATAAGATGGGAAGGATTTTGAGTGGCAAGACCTAATGTGTTTTAACAGGTTCACTCCAGCTGCTGCTGTGTTGAGTACAGACTGAAGAGGAGCAAGGGCTGAGGCCAGAAGACTAGAGGCTAGCGCAATACACCAGATGAGCGAAGAAAGTGGCTTGGCCCAGGATGGTGTGGTAGAGTTGGTGAGAAGTAGTCAAATTCAGGATATACTTTGAAGGCACAGCCAAACATTTCTGCTGGATCAGATGTGGATTATAGGAGAAAGAGAGGGGCGGGAAGAATGATGAGGCTTTCGGCCTAAGCAATGGAAGAAATGGAGTTTCCATTACGGCTGTTATTCTTTAGTTAATGAATCAACTACTGTATGAAAACACAAGTCAAAACCTTCTACTTACCAAGTGCTAGCACTTCCACCCTTCCACACACTGTAAGAAAAGTCAGCATTTCTGTAGGACATGATGCCCACCATCCCTAAGAGACACCAGAAAAAGAACACAGTGCTTCAGCGACCCCCATTTCTACTCAAAGAGCCCTTTACCAGCCCCTGGGAATGGTAAACTTCCTTTGGTGTTGGGCAGCAAGTATGTGCTTGGTGGCCAACACTGACTTCTCAAAGGAAGTACATGAATTGCTTGAATAGGGAATTATCAAGCAGAACATTCTGATCTCATTCAAAGAGGAAGGAAGTATTCTGCAGAGCTTGGAATGCAGGTGTCTTGTCTCTCATCCAGGCATTTTGGCAAGTTAAGCCAAAATGCTACAGAAACAGTATTTATTTATATAGCAGACTCCACCTCATGATTTTTTTTTACTAAAATGTTTTTACAATTAAACTTTTATATAATTCATAACTTAAATATTAGTTTCATTAAAATATAGTTTAAAAATCACTAGGTTTTTATGTGAAATAGTTTTTATTTACCTTCTTTTAATTTTTTCTTCAGGTTCTGTTTTTTAGTTAATGAGTTAGGGTGAAAAATGTTCCAATGATTTCCTGCTTCCAGGTAGTGGTAAACATAGAATATTGGGACAATGCTCATCAGCTCTGCCTCCGCACTCCCCTTGGGGAGGTGGGTTAGGATATCGATGCCTTCCTCACTTAGAACTGCAGACAGGACCTCACCTATAAGCAATCCTGAAACAAAAAAGGAATCAAAGTAGACACAACCACTTTCTATCAACTTCTAACAGTATATTCTAAAGAGGGAAGAGCAACCTTCTCTATTCTTCCCTTTTTATCTAGGCAGTTGACTTGCTTCTCAGAAATGGGGTGAGAAGAAAAGATCTGGTTAGGAATATGAATTGAAAAGAAACAACAACAAAAAAGAAGATTTAAAAATACCACTAAAATATGGTGGGAGATAATGTAATACAATGGACAGGTTACTGGGTAGAGAACATGGCAAATTAGTTGCCATTCAACCTGTTAGCCTTAGACATCATAAACCATGTTAACCAACCCCTCTCAGGAAGCAAGGCAAAGAGCCCAAACAGCTAGTGCTGTGACTACTCTGTCTGTAATTCACCGTGCAATCTTGGGCAAGCCCTTTTCTTTTATATCCAACAACAGGGTTGCACATGATCAAAAAGTTCCTTTCCATTACTAACATGCTGTGATTCCAAGATTTTATCTGAGATAAAACGTAGTCAGGACAGTATATCATTTTGAATGACATGTTATTGAATTGTAAAGGCTGGAGACCAGGAAAAACCCACCAAACATGTCACTTCTGCAAATGTAATGGAAGGGAGAGAACCTCTGCTATGGTTTGAATGCATATGCCCCTCCAAGATCTATACTGAAACCTAATCACCAAAGCAATGGTATTAGAAGGTGGGGATTTTTGAAAATCGATTAGGTCATGTGGGCTCTGCCCTCATGAATGGGATTAGTGACCTTATAAAAGAGGTGTGAAGGAGCTTTCCATCCCTTTTGGCCCCTTTGGCTTCCACCATCTACCACGTGAGGATATAGCAACAAGGGGCCGTCTTGGAGGCAGAGAGCAACTCTTGCTGGACACTGAATCTGCTGGTGCCTTGACCTTGGACTTCCCAGACAAATAAATTTCTGGTCTTTATAAATTATCCAGTCTCAGGTATTTTATTACAGCAGCATAAATGGATTTAGACAACCCCTCTGGGACTGGTACTTCAGCAGAGTGGTGCTGCTCTCTTGGGGCCATTTGCAGGTCATACAGTCTTCTCTGGAGCAGGACCGGACCATGGAAAGTTCTCTAAGTCTAAAAGCGGCTGCACTCCCATTTTAGAGAAGTCGTTGAGCCAATGACAGCCCCCACCCTCCATCATAGGAAAAGAATCTCCATCTAAATTAGGCCAGTGGAGGAAGATAGTTGGAAAAGTGATCAAAGGTTTGAAGGTGGTGGTGGGTGGGGGTAGGGTACTCCCAGAGGTGGGTTTGTGTGCTACTGAGCAAGGAAGTGGAGAAATAGAGTAATCATGAGGATATTTGATTTTTGTTTGAAGCAAAAGTGAAATAGGAAATAAAAATGGCATTTGTTAATTTACCTTTTACACTTAAAATCCTTTTGACTTTTGTTTTGGGGACCATATCTAATGGTAT